GGGTGTTATGCACAAACAATGAATCATGGAACACTACATCAAAAACTAATGATGTACTGTATGGTGATTAACATAACAATAAAAAATAAAAAAAACCCCCAGTGCTCATCACAACATGTGCTCTCCTTAATACCCATCACCAGGCTACCCCATCCCCCCCACGCCCTCCCCTCTGAAACCCTCGGATTTTTTCCTGGAGTCCATAGTCTCTCATGGTTCGTCTCCACTTCTGATTTCCCCCCCTTCAGTTTTCTCTTCCTTCCCCTGATGTCTACTGTGCTATTCCTTATGTTCCACATATGAGTGAAACCATATGATAATTGACTTTCTCTGCTTGACTACTTATTTCACCTAGCATAATACCCTTTAGTTCCATCATGTCGATGTAAATGGTGGGTATTCATCCTTTCTGATGGCTGAGTAATATTCCATTGTATATATGGACCACATCTTCTTTATCCATTCATTTGTTGAAGGGTGTCTTGGCTCCTTCCACAGTTCAGCTATTTTTTTTAATAAAAAAAAAAAGATTTTACGGGTACCCGGGTGGCTCAGTTGGTTAGGCAGCTGCCTTTGGGTCAGGTCATGATCCCAGGCTCCTGGGATTGAGCCCCACATCAGAGCCTGCTTCTCCTTCTCCCTGCTCTTGCTCTCTCTCCCTAAATCTATCTCTCCCTCAAAAAAATCAAATCTTAAGAAAAGATTTTATTTGTTTATTTATTTATTTGAGAGCCATTGGAGTGGGTGGAAGGGCAGCAGGAGAGAGAGAATCTCAAGCAGATTCCATGCTGAGTGTGGAGCCTGATGGGGGCTGGATCCAACCACCCTGAGATCATGACCTGAGCCAAAATCAAGAGCCAGATGCTTAACTGACTGAGCCATCCAGGTGCCACTAGAGTGCATGTGTTTTAAAGTATGCCTTGTGTACTAGTATTTTGATCTCCCCCATTCTTTTCAAGAAAACCTAGCTTTCATGATGGATATGTGGCTAGGAATTGAGAAAACATAATTTGAAAGTGAAATCTGGGCATAGATTCTTCTTTTCAGGTTGTTATCCAGCCTCTCAGTGGTGTGAAGCTTTATGGTGTGGCTCTCATGGGAAGGCTGTAGCATGATGGCTGTGTGTGTGTCTGGGTGTATGTAAGAAATAAATGCATCAGGGAATGTTTGCAAAAGATATTTCCCTGTAACTCTTGCATCACTGTATTTCAGAAGACTAGATATAGACACGAATGTGTTCAGACTTCTCAAAGCCTTAACATGAAACATGTGGTTCTTTTGTAGATTGGCGGAAGGAGAAGTTCCAGCCCTGTGAGTTACTTTGAGTTCTTTCTGGGCTCCCCCATGGCTGCTGACATCTCCTCAGCCTGCTGTGGTGACAAAGATGCTGGCCCCATCAATGGTGGTGGGTTCAGATGGGGCGGTGAAAGTCACATAGCTTGGATTGGTGGGTGTGGATGATAGCAGATGCTAAAGAGGTACCCTTCAGTGTTGGAGTCCAGTCTGCTCCTCAAATGCCTGTGACATATCAAACCCCCAGATCAGTCTTTTGGTTACTTCTCCTGGTTGGAAAGGTCTGTACTTGAGTCACAAGACTCTCATCGCAGGAGGCTTAGCCCTACCCACGTGCATCTAGATGTCTGGGAGAGGGGGTGGTTGATGTGTGCCTTGTTATGGGTCAAGGGGAGACCTCAAATAATTGGCAACTCTCTCTGCAGTGTCTGTTACTCTGGATCCAGAGTCTGCACATCCAAACCTTGCTGTTTCTGATGAAAAGTCTAGTGTGACCTGGAAGAATACAACTGAGGACCCAGGAAAACACTGTAGCATCTTAGGTCGGGAGGGCATCACATCAGGACGCTGTTATTGGGTGGTGGAGATCAGGAATGGAGACAGAAGTGAGTGGTGTCTGGGTATCTGTAGAGGAGATGTGGAGAGGACATACTGGTACCAAGAGTGCCCAGAAAGGGGGTTCTGGGCTGTGGGAGTATATTTGCAAAATTATTGTGCATATTCCAACTTTGTGATTCCACTATCCTGTAGGCAAGCTCCCCACAGGGTTGGGGTTTTCTTGGACCTCAAGGAAAGGGATGTCTCCTTCTACAACATGACTGATGGCTCCCACATGTTCTCCTTCCCTCTAGCTTCCTCCTCTGGGGCTCTGTTTCCATATTTCATGTTGAGGTCAGGAGATGTGTCCCTGACCATCTGCTCTGTGGTGGGTGGGCCTGCAGAGACCCCAGTGACCCTTAACAATCTTCCTTCTTCTTTGGAGGAGCCTGTGAGCCTCTCAGGGGTGGGGTTCAACTCAGTCTCTGGTGTTGATGGTGCTCTTCCTGGGGCTGAATGTCCATTACTCCCCTGCAGCCCTGAGGCTATGTCCCCATAGAGCCCCAACACTGTCCCAGACTCCTCATGGTGGCTCTTCCTGGAGCTGCAGACGCCGTAGGGCAAAAGCCTCTGGGGTTAGCCCTGGATGACCTGGTGTCTTGCCTTCCTGCTCTGGATGAAGACTTCCTAGGGTGTGGTTATGAGAACAGTCAGTTCACGCCTTATGCTCAGGTGAGAGAAGTTAAAAGTTGACTGTTGTTTGTGCTGGTTTGGAGTAGGCTGAATTTTACTATTGGAAGTCATGTTTCTTTTGGTAATGAAAATTATTTCATGGAGTCTTAATATTGTTTGGATATGAAAGGAGATAAGGGCTGAATGACTCTGCGGGATTACATGGTGTTTGTTTTATCTAGCTTGAGTTGTGCAGATGAACCCAGAGGCTACAGGTGGGTCATCAGCTCTATTTTGGGAAATCTACACTCTGACCAGAGACATTGGCCATCCAAAAATTTCTGGAGAAATGGATGGCTGATGGACTTTAAGAAGAGATGAGTCTAATATTCTATTGTATAAAGTTCCTATTCTGCAATGGATGAAACACACTTATGATATTTTAGTAAATTTCTGTTATTTGAAAAACTAATGCTGTGTTAAATCGGGGAATTAAGGATGAGGATCTGGGTTCCCCTTTTGTGTCAACACCAGTTGGAAAGAACAGAATTGCTACCAGAACAAAGATGTGAATGGTGAAGAGAGTTTTCAGATGCCCGGTGAATTGAAGAAAGCGTTGATCATGAGCACAGTTCCAGGATCTATGTACTGCCTCTCAGTACTTCCAAGTCCAATGAATAAGGTATCAACCACAGAAAATAAAAAGACACCAGACTATTTAGGGCTCAGACCTTCAGGCATGAAGGTGTATTCACTCCACAGGTAGAGAATTCTGACCTGCTGTGCTTCTGGGAGAGATGAGAAGACACAGAATTGGAAATGGAAGAAGGGAGTCACAGATATCAGTTCCTGCCTGTGACCAGGCAGAGAAAAAGGACTGTAGTAGCTTTGCATATTTTTTCTTTCTTGTCATATAGATGTGTTTATTTGTATTTATGATCTATTTTCTTCCTCTCTCTTCTAACCCTTATGATTTTATTCAAGTTGTTGATGGTTATATTTAAAATAGAGCCTCTATAGGAAACCATCAAAATTCTAGAGGAGAACACAGGCAGAATAGTCTTTGACCTTGGCCACAGCAACTTGGTACTAGACATGTCTCAGAAGCAAGGGGAACAAAAGCAAAAATGAACTATTGGGACTTCACCCAGATAAGAAGTTTTGGCACAGCAAAGGAAACAAACAACAAGACTAAAAATAGGGTACAGAATGGGAGAACCTATTTGGCGATGATA